CATCTGGACTACACAAGACCACACACATCAATCGTGACTCGCCAGAAGCTCAGAGAGCTTGGTTGGGAAGTTATTCTGCATCCGCCTTATAGTCCAGACCTCGCACCAAGTGATTACCATCTGTTCCTGTCAATGGCAAATTATTTAGGTGGTGAAGAAATGGCATCAAGAGAAGCCTGTGAAAATCGATTGACCCAATTTTTTGCGAATAAGGAGAAGGTATTCTATGAGGAAGGCGTAATGATGTTACCTTTTCAATGGCAAAAAGTTATCGAGCAAGACGGTGAATATTTGACCCAGATTGAATAATTCTAACTATTGTAAATAAGGGCTTCAATTTAATGTAAAAATAATAGAAAACTTTTATAAAACTTCTTTCTATATTTGTAAATACGTAAATACTTGTAAATACGCTATAAACTTAAACTTTTAATAAATTAAAAACGGAAGTATAATTATACGATATAAATATACATATATGTTTTTAATAATTATTCATCGTTTTATTAATAAAATATAAAGAAAAGAAATAGTTGTATGACATGGTATTGGTAATACCTATTGGCTAGCATAAGAAATACATACAGTGGCTCAAAAATGAACTCGGACACACAAGTTATATGACTTTAAACAAAAAAAATATAAAATAAAATGCAAATCGAGGGCTTTCTGTTTATCAAGTGTATTTTTCAAAACAACCATAAACTAAATTAAACTCGGTCGAATGAAAATAATAAGAACAAAACAACTTAAGAAAACTGATGACAAAAAAGAGCTAGGACATAAACATAACATAATTTAATAATATTATTTAAAGAGAAACAAAATATTCTTAATATTTAGTCATCAAGCCTTTAATTTTTCTGATAGCATTCAGTCTTCTTGGCAAAGATTCAACTAGCTTCTTGCATGTAAAAGAATTTACTCTTCCAAAATAGCGGCTTCTAGGTCTTTCTTATTTCTAATAACATGCATTTTCAGTTTATTTTCCAATGAGCCCACAGATGTTCAATTACGTTAATGTCGGGGGATTGAGAAGGTTTTTCAAGCACTTTAGGACAGTTATACATCAACCATAGACGGACATCAAGTGCTTTAGTACTTTTCCGCACTTTGCACAATATTTTATTTTAAAATGGTCAGATATTGCTGTTGTCCATATTACCATTATTGAAACACAAATTTCCAGTACCAGCTGCCCCCATGTCGGACGTAAATTCTTTTCCAGCAACTCTTCGTTCGGTTTTCTCCAAACATACGGCTCTCCATTTGACCTAAATATATTAAATTTGCTTTCATCTGCAAATAAAACTTGTTGCCAGAATTGAAAATCCTTATCCCCATGACATTTTGCAAATTTTATCCTTTTGTCCATTTATAAATGGTTTCTTCCGTGCTACTCTTCCATTATAATTATTTTGTCGTTAAACTATTCGAATACTCTCCGGATTACAATTGTATACAATATTGAGATGTTGCAAAACTTCTGTTGAGAGCTTGGGAGCGCTCATGTTTGGATTTTTTTTGATTTGCTGCCGGAAACAACTTCGGTCGTCCAGACTTCTTTTCTTTTCCACGAATTTTGTTTGTTTAAATCGTTTAATCACGTCGTGCACAGTCGAGCGGGGTCTGCTCACAATTTCTGCGATTTCCCGAATGGTTTTACTCATTTCAAAATGTCTAATAATTAACTTCCTTACTGCAATTGAACTTTGTCCACGCTGTCTACCCATGTTTGAACTTTTCAACTTATTTTCCAAACAAAACTACTGAAATTTTATTTTAAGATACATATTACGTTTGATTATATACATATGTATTTTTAAACGAAAAAAAACTAATTGTGTGATTCCCCTTTTTAAAATGCCAAGCAACTGTAATATAATATTATCAGATGTCCGACTTCTTTTTTTTGGCGAAATTTCTAGCATGCCACATGTTAATTTTTTGAAGTAAGAGTATAGGAGACTTATAAACTATTTAATTTGTGTGTAATTGGTATTTTTTAAATCCTTATTGGATACCCTATAGAAATATAAAAAACAAAAATGCTTAATATCAATTGGTAAAAAAAAATCTAGCTTGAAGTTGCATGTTAATAACAGTTGAATGGTTGTCTGAGTTCTTTATTGACCCACTGTATTTATATTTTAAATATATGTGTTTTATTAACTTATATATCTTTATTTGGATATCAGTGTGAGGTTGAGTGTAATCATAGTCGTAATACACGTTTATTTACATTATTTTTACAATAACTTTACAAGCACTTCAACAAATACTAATTACTTTGCTAAAAAGAGCAATGTGATAATAATGAAAGGGTAACATTTGCAAAGAAATTCGAAAGCCGATGAATACAATTACGCCCGTACTCATTTACCTTGGTAACCATCAGACCAGTTTAGTATTGAGCTCTTATCAACGTTTTTGGAATATAATAAAAATATAAATGGAATGCATAGATGGCAACAGATTTTTATTCCAGTGAGTTGAGCGTTAATAATTGTTTCAGAACCTTTGTTTGTGATGTTTCTCGAATTTCGCCAGCTAAGAACATTTCATCAACTACTGTGTAAACTTTATAAAAGTTAAACACCAAATCCAATTTACAAACATTGTGGAAATATTCATTAAGAACTTTTACGAAATTATGTATACCTTCCAAATAGCACAAGTTAATGTCGTTAACATCCACACATATGCAGAAATAGACCATCGTAACGACGGTAGAGAGTGTAGGGATAAATCGTAAAAAAGAGGGTATTATTCTTCAGTGAATGGGGATTTTTGAAAAAAGAAAGTAACAACACGGCAATCAACTCAAACAACTGCACTACAACCCGGTTGAGAGAATGCTCACTTAAATAAAAAGAAGAGGAGAGCTTGGCTTCGTAAATCTACAAAAATTGTTTTTCCAAAATTTCGAAGTATAAAGTGAATATCAAAATAATCAAAATAAGAGAATGTCGAATATGGACACCAGCAAAGAGAAAAGACGCTCTATTTTACAATTTTTCTTCGATAAAGGCAAAAACGCAAGCCAAGCAGCTGAAATCGTGAATAGTGTTTATGGTCCTGATACTGTAACAGTCAATCATGCACAATTTTGGTTTCGTCGATTTCGTTCCGGAAATTATGATGTAAAAGATGCACCACGGTGTGGAAGGCCAATTGTCGAAAATGTTGATAAAATAATGAAAATCGTCGAGTCTGATCGTCATGCGAGCACTAATTCGATAGCGCAGGAACTAAAAATTGCACAAAAAACGGTTTGGAACCACTTAAAAAAGGCTGGATACACAAAGAAGTTCGATGTATGGGTTCCACATGAGTTAACGAAAAAAGACCTCTTGGACCGAATTTCAATCTGCGAATCGCTGCTGAATCGCAACAAAATCGACCCATTTCTGAAGCGGATGGTGATTGCTGATGAAAAGTGGATCACTTATAGCAACGTCAAACGAAAATGGGAGTGGTCGAATGACAGTGAGCTGATACAAACAGTCTCCAAACCAGGATTGAAGGCTAAGAAGGTTTTATTATGTGTTTGGTGGGATTGGCAAGGAATCATTCACTATGAGTTACTCCCCTACGGTCAAATACTTAATACGGACCTGTATTGTCAGCAATTAGATCGTCTGAAGGAGGCAATCGCCCAGAAACGTCCAGATTTGGACAATAGTAGTGGAATTGTGTTTCATCTGGACTACACAAGACCACACACATCAATCGTGACTCGCCAGAAGCTCAGAGAGCTTGGTTGGGAAGTTATTCTGCATCCGCCTTATAGTCCTGACCTCGCACCAAGTGATTACCATCTGTTCTTGTCAATGGCAAATTATTTAGGTGGTGAAGAAATGGCATCAAGAGAAGCCTGTGAAAATCGATTGACCCAATTTTTTGCGAATAAAGATAAGGTATTCTATGAGGGAGGCGTAATGATGTTGCCTCTTCAATGGCAAAAAGTTATCGAGCAAGACGGTGAATATTTAACCCAGATTGGATAATTCTAACTATTGTAAATAAAGGCTTCAATTTAATGTAAAAATAATAGAAAACTTTTATACAACTTTCTTCTAGATTTGTTATTATATTCTCACTTAAAATACTTTGTAAATACGCTATAAACTTAAACTTTTAATAAATTAAAAATGGAATTATAGTTATATAATAATTATTAATCGATTTACTAATAAAAATGAAGAAAATTAATAGTTCAATGGCGTGATATTGGTAATACCTATTGGCTAGCGGCAATGGTTAATAGAAAAAATACATATTTCGGTTAACATAATTTAAATATATGTATTTTATTAACTTATATTTCTTTATTTGAATATCAGTGTGAGGTTGAGTGTAATCATAGTCGTAATACACGTTTACTTACATTATTTTTACAATAACTTTACAAGCACTTCAACAAATACTAATTACTTTGCTAAAAAGAGCAATGTGATAATAATGAAAGATTACATATGAAAAGAAATTCGAGAACCGATGAATACAATTACGCCCTTACTCATTTATCTTGGTAACCATCGGACCAGTTTAGTATTGAGCTCTTATCAACGTTTTTGGAATATAATAAAAATATAAAATGGAATGCATAGACGGCAACAGATTTTTATTCCAGTGAGTTGAGCGTTAATAATTGTTTCAGAACCTTTGTTTGTGATGTTTCTCGAATTTCGCCAGCTAAGAACATTTCATCAACTACTGTGTAAACTTTATAAAAGTTAAACACCAAATCCAATTCACAAACATTGTGGAAATATTCATTAAGAACTTCTACGAAATTATGTATAGCTTCCAAATAGCACAAGTTGTTGTCGTTAACATCGACACATATGCAGAAATAGAGACCAGCGTAACGACGGTAGACAATCTTGAAGTTACGGAACTGTTAATGAAAAATTTCATAATTAGGAACAAATAAATATATTAACATCAAAACAGGAATATTAAGGAATTCTCTTCTATGCGATTGCCGCCGACCTAATTTATAAGTATACCTCTGGGAATTAACACCCACCTCAACAAAATTAGTATGTTTTGCATCTCGAACTGTCACCACTGCATGTACCTCCTCAATTAGTTTTTGCTTCTCGTCATCATCGAAATTCATATACCACTTGGCTAAGCGGGTCTTCCCAGCGCGATTTTGTATAAGAATAAAACGTATCTGCCAAATAAGTGATATGTGAAACAATTAAATGCCAAAGGGGCGTTATAACATTTCCTTACCATGGTTTTCAGTAATTTTTCTTCTATTATGCCCAATTTCAGCTGAAAGCAAAGTTGTCAAAACTATGATAATGAATTTCATTAATTTTTTTTGTATGTGTGTAGCGAAACAGGGTTGCAGCCACGATTTTTTTGTGATGTTACCATTAAAACCTGCATCACGTCAAATTTCTAGAGTAAGTCAACGTAACGGTAAATTACCTCACGTTTCAAGGAAGAATTGCTCTTACTGTAACAAAATAAGTGTTTTATGTTTATATATCATGGCAAGATATTTATAATCAAGTGGAATTCTGAGCTGTTTATTTTCTTGTTCAATTTTCAGTAAAAATAATTGCAGTTAGTTTTTGGTACTACCTAATGAAACTAGCTTTATTGGGCTTATTCGGATGTGACCTTATTTAGATCTCCCATCTGCCTGGGAATAACTTATCGATAACAATTGATTTTTATGCAGCAAAACCGTAATGTGGGCAAATACTCCAACATAACTTTATATATCTTTCGTGTAACTTACGAAATCAATCACGAATAAGCTAAACGAAGCAATTTGTTAATTTTTTATATGCAATTAATTTTTTTTTCAATAATCGTTTCATCTTATAATCGATAAGTTTCCATCGCTCACAACAGCTGACTACACCAACAAAACATCAGGGAATTGTGAAAATTATACCATGTAATATATAATTAAGCATATTTGCCTAGTCTTATTTGTATAAAACTGTAAGGTTTAAGTATAAGCCAAAACTCACACGAAGGAGGTCGAAATTTTTAAGAATTAACTGAAAATGTTTTCAATTCTAAAAAGATCCTTTTTCCGCGGATTGTCGCAGAAGGTATGGACCAGAAGTTATGGTGCAGCCGCGATAGATGCCCAACAGCAATTGGCTTTAAAGGAAAATTGCATATTAGTGGACGCGAATGACAAGGCCCTGGGTTCTAGTAGTAAATACGATTGTCATCGTGTAAATAAAGAAACTGGCAATCTAAAACTACATCGTGCTTTTAGTGTATTTCTTTTTAATTCGGAAGGAGAAATGCTAATGCAACGTCGTTCATCACATAAGGTAAACTGAACATTACATTTTAGTGTTTCCCGGTTCTGCTATTGTCTTCTTTATTTGGCAGGTTACATATCCGGATACCTACACAAATTCCTGCTGTAGTCATCCATTATACGATATCGACGGCGAACGAGTAGAGGATAACGAAATAGGTATACGTAGAGCTGCGCAGCGACGCTTAAATTATGAGCTTGGCATACCAAAAGATCAAGTTTCACCAGAACGCTTTCACTATTTAACGCGCATACATTACAAGGATGAAGGTGATGGTGTGTGGGGCGAACATGAAATAGATTATATATTATTCCTCCAAAAGGATGTCGATCTTAATCCCAATGAGAATGAGGTCAGTGAGGTGCGTTACATTAAGCGAAGTGAAATTGATGAAATTGTGAATTTATTCAATGCGCCATTTACGCCATGGTTTAAATTAATTTTGAAACATAAATTGAAGGTATGGTGGGATAATTTGGATTCATTGGATAAATGTGTAGATACAAAGAACATAATTCGATTTCTATAATAAGAAAGTATGATATTGTATGCATTTTCATACATATGCGCCTACTTTACTTTCACCTACAATTATGCACGCATGAGTTTTATATTCAAGACTGGATAGTATTTAAAAACTTATTTTGTCAAGTTGAATTTTTATACACAAACTATTATCATCTGATTTTTAACCTTCTCATATATGTACATACAAAATTCTGCGTGCATAATTCTTATTGTATAACAGTGCCAATATAAGAAAAACAGTCATTGAATAGACGCATTTGGTTGGACTATAGTGGTCAAAGGCCTAAATGGTTATACCAAAGAGCATTTTTAGTTACACTTTACCTGGGTACTTTTGTTTTTAAAAAATAAAAAGTAAAAAATAAATACAATTGTAAAATCTTAACAATCGACTAATGATTTTTCACAATTTTATTTACTCATCGATGGTTGACGCATGCAAATTTGTCTACAATGAGATGAAGTGTTTTTTTTTTTTCACTTTACATACATTTAACATTTAAGAGATCAAAAAATGATTATTACCGTTACGTCAATGAATTTAAAAAATAAATATTTTCAAGTTTTGTTGTTTTCGAGTGTCATCGAAAGGGAATTATGCATTTGTTATTTTTCATTTGTATCTAAATAATGAGCTGCAAATAGTTTATGTACATACGTATGTATGTATGTAAATATCGGGAAACAATTTGTAGGGTCATTTACATGCAAATTTAGTCTTACATATCATAGGTCGGCACCGGACATTTGCTATTAACTTCAAAAAAATACAGCTACAAGTCCCTTCCTATATATAGATATATGGTTGCATATGTAGTATTTGGTCGCCATAGATTTGTGTTTAAATCTTGCACAACTCTCTTCCCATGAACAGTGTCATCGGAATTTCACTTTTCCATCGAGCCTTGCCTTGGAGTATATATACGAGCTCCGTTCCACAGCCCGTTGACGCTGAAGCAATATCGGCCAATTTTTCTATAATAAGTTCAAATATTGTATGCATTTTTTAAGTAAGCGAATCCCTTGACTTCTTGTGCAATTATGAACGCATGATTTTTATATTGAAATAAGATATAAAAACTGAGCGTGAATAATACTCGTTTATCATGTATAATTGTTTTTTTTTTTTTTATTTCTTAATACAACAGGCACAAGGCCTAAATTGCTATGCCAAAGAGCATTTTATTTAGAAAAAAGTGTGACTACATAAGGTTTTAATACTAAAAATAAAATATATAAATAAAAAGGAAATTGAAAAAGTTAAATAGTCGATTTATGGCTTTTCGCTTTTATTTATTTATTTACGGTTGTATGCATACAATTTGTATATATGTATATTAATGTAAATAACAATAAAGTACAATTGTGTAGTAAAATGATCACATTTACTGTATTATTACCATGCACATTGCTTTTGACTTACAACTATTTAAATAAATATAGTATGTATGTATGAAGGTATTTTATCTACGCACCTTTATTTATACGTAGGTATATGTATGTAGGCATGTTATTAGTTGGCGAAGCACAATAAACATTTCGCAATACAACAACAAAATAACGAACAAAATGAATAATAAACATTTACAAGTTTTGGCGTAAAAAAGTCGTATATACTAAATGAACATATATATTATATATATAATTTATGAAATGAAGTTATAATCAAATAAGCTGCAGCTTGTCTTGATTTTACTACTGCATTCAAAAATGCCAAAACCATTTCTTTTAACGCACACTTTTATATTGGTTCAAAAATACTTGTTCAGTAAGTGCAGGAACCGAAGTTTGTCATATTGAAAGTGATTAGTTATGGTATATTTTTCCTCCGTTAAAAATTCCTTGGAAATATATATGTATAAAAGTATTACAGCAATTTGTTTTATTTTATATAATTATATTTGTATATCATAGGACGGAACGGGACATCTCTTCTTAACCTCAAACAACAACAATAAATACCTCGCGTTATATCCACGTTTCCTTCATTAATCGTTCTATATTCAAATAACTAAATTCCCTTTTCAATCCAACCCATTACTTTGCATCATAATAGCTACCAATTACATACATGTAGATGTATAAATTTACAAAAACTACTATTTTTCCATGAGTTCTCAACTAAGACTAAGGCGATTCGAATCATTCCATTCGAACCAATCATTTGATTAATTGAGTATATTGTGGGTTTGCATGCGTTTTGAAAACACGTCGTTGTTAGTATTAATGATTTGTTTAATAAATAATCGTCGACATCGTTAAATATGTTTTTATGTTTTATAATATAATTTCTTAAATCGTTTCCTTGTTTTTGTTTTCTCCTTTCTTATATCAACCGTTACGGCTTTTTTTTTAGCACTTTCCATTTAAGGCACAAATGAAGTCTTGTAGTTCTTAATGTATTGTAACATATATACATTTTTATGCATGAAGGAAAAGAAAGAAAAAACTAAATTACCATGTAAAAATTTGGCACTTTCGTTTTGATTTTCTTCGCAGCATTTCATCTCTTCTCGTATTGTTATTACTTTTGTAAAGTACCTGCTATAAATTGTCATTTTTCTCTCTAGTGACGAATACTATGACAGTCTACATTAAGTAAAATCACAGCCTTGTAACATTTTAGGATAGACCGAAGAGTTTCAATGCATTGAATGCAGTGGCTAGAGCTACTTCATCTGGTGTCTTCTTCATGAATGCAGCTATCATTTCAACTATGGCGGGTAAGCTACAAGGCTCGTTGCGTTGAAAAGTGCAGTACCTGAAAACAAAAGCAAAAAAAAAAAATTAATATAAATTGATACTTTTTATTGCTAGAAGAAACAAACCTATGTAAATATAAAAGTGAACGCTCAGTTATACCAGTCTTAACATGTTGCGGCAGCTTGGAAGCTCTTGTATTTGGATACATGAAAGGCGAGTCCGTTTCAACGAGCAGTCTATCTATAGGAAGTGTACCATTTTCTAAGAGTTTGCGTACTCCACTATCTGATTTGTCCTAAAATCGCATACAACAAATTTAGTTTATGTATGTTATACGTATAATTTTATATATTATAAACACTCAGGTTATTTTTGGCTTCTAATGTGTTTTGCGAGACGCTTATAAATATTTTTTTCCTACCTTGCATAAATAACCAGTTAAACTAATATAGAATCTTCTATTGAGATATTCAACTGCTTCGTCGGCTGTACCCATGAAACCCCTTACAATCACAGGTGGTAAATTCTCGAATCTGAAAAAAGTTTTGAACGGAAATAAGCATTAGGAATATACGAGTATATCTACAATTGGTATTTTCACTTACTTATCCAGTATATCGAGTACATCTTGTTGCGCGGAACGCTCATGTATGAGGAGTGGCTTATTTAATCGGCAAGCCAAATGTATTTGCTTTTCGAAAATCTCCTTTTGTGCCTCCGGTTCAGAGAAATCACGTTGATAATCCAAGCCGCAGGGTCCGATGGCAACGCATTCCTGTGAAGCCGCAATATGTTCGAATTCGAACCATGTGTTTGGTTCTTCGATAATGGATTTGGAGTCGTGTGGATGTATGCCAGCAGTCGAATAAATTATGTCGGGATAAATTCGTGACAAGCGTAGCGCTTCCTTGCTAGATTTCACTGATGTACCAGGAACCATAATTTTTTGAACACCTAAAATAATTAAAAAGTTGTTTTGAAAATTCTTTGCACTTTTTCTTTCATTTAGAAGCTTGAATTTTCAGTAAAACTCTAAAGCTATGGTAACAAGAGACTTCCTGCAAGACCTTAGAGGTCAAAGAAACGATTACACATGCGTATATGCGTGTATAAAAAAATAATATATTCCTTTGTATGTTTATATTGGACATATGTGTATATCAATGGGCGTGTAAATATTTATTTGCATATATATATTCCTACACATATTTATGCATGAGAAGGAACAGTCATTCTTATCTACATAAGTGAGGCGCTGTGCGATCTGCTTCAAAGCAGAACTTTGTGTTAATTGATAAATATACTATATGAACATTCATAAACAATATGTGTGCGTTTATATATAGATAATTTCATAACGTCATCCACATACGTATATCTTTTTTCGTTTCTTACCTGCATCTTTTGCCCTTTGTATTACTGATTCCAGATCACGGCTATATTTTTTATTTGTCAAATTTGCGCCCGCATCTATCACTATAAGATTTTCGAAGCAATGCTTCATATCCACTATATCTATATCCACACCGACGCCCAAATTTTTAGAGATTGCCATACCAGCGCCAGCGCTTGTATTAGCAGAGTTGGTTGCACCAGCAACGGATTGTGCCATTATCGTAGTTATTTTTTTGTTTGTTTACGTTCGTAACTTCAATGAGTAGTCGTGTTATCTCTTAAATCGTATGGTGCTTGCACGTTGTCTTTTGACGAAAATAGGAATGACGAAATAATAATAGCACACAGTGGAAATATAATTTAGATGCACATTAATTATGATGAATATCTTTGAATAGTGTGAAAAAATTATGAGAAGCGTTGAAGGAGATGTTGTATGCAATAAACACAATGCAAGTATGAAACTTAAAAGTATAACGCACAAATTGAGCACCTTTAAAACATTAGTTTTGTATAAAAAAACAAAATTATTATTGAAATTTTCCACGACTGCTGGCAGCTGGCGGCCAAGAAAATTAGTAAAATACTAGAGTACAGTGCTGCCACACAGCTGCTATAGTGGTGTTCGCAATAATTAGGCAACTCTAGAGTCGAGTGCACAGTGTGCTAGGCTAGATGAATTTAAAAAAAAAAATACAAAATACAAAACCTATGGTAATGTTTTATGAATGAGATATTACCAACATTAATCATTCGGAGTTTTAATTATATATATTTCTTGTAAGAAGAATCTGAGAGAAAGACATATATACATACAATTCGCGCTTTGTAACCGTTGACGTGATTTTCGGCCGAGCTCCTCGTCCAATATGTGGTTTTTCGTGTTGGTTTATTTCATATCAGGAAAACACTCGGAGAGTTTGACATTCCCTGTCGAGGGGCGACCGCATTTATCTTAATTTTTAGAACCAGAGCCTTCCGGATGGCAGTACGCAATGCTAACCACTCGGCTACCGCGACCGCAATCTAAGCAAAAACTCATAATATTAAGTACAGAATGATACAAGTGCAAAAAGTTAGTTAAGATTTAGAATTTATTTTATTTATCAACCAAATATTTATCTTTTGCTAAAATTCTGAAAACGCTTGTAGACCTGCCGGCAGATGATGCTCTACTAACTCTGCTTTCCCAACAGACAGTTTTCTCTTGTTATGTAACGAAAGTTCTGTTTGGGAGAAGTATGTGTTCTTCCAGTCGATCCATGACCTCACATGTCTGGTTACATTGCATGCGGTTCCATCTGCCATTGGCCTTAGTCATTGTTTTATCTACATCGGCTGAAGAATTATGCGTAGTTTCCATTATGGCTAGTGGTCCTAACATTTTTCTGGGATATCCGGCATATAGTCTCAGCAGCCAATTCCCACTTTTCTAATTGAAGGACGTTACAGTGGTTAGGAAGATCAATTAGTAATTGTACGGAGTAAACTCCGCAGCACGCAGTATAGTTTTGAGTCGTCGATGTAGATGACTACAGATCTGCTATCTGGTAGTTAGAGCACACCTGATGTAAGGCATGCCTATCATAAGAAGCGACGAAATTCAATAGTTTCTGTAATAGTCGGGTTTTTATACCAAGGACTATCGCTCCCGCAATAATCCTAAAGTTGTTACATTTTTACATTGACCCCTCTCTGGGGGGTTTGTTGAAAAAACAGGAAACTGAGGTGGTTCAGAGTTTAATATATTTCGACATTTCCTGTACAGCAACTTATTCATGATTGAGTTGCATTTGGCGAGCTTAATGGGGTTGCAGCTGGCATAAAGGTTCTCATACAGATCTGACCGGAAAAGAATGCAGCGCTTCTATTAAACTTTGTCCAGCTTGTTACTGTAAACCGCTTTGTTTAGTGCCGGCCGCCAGATAGTGATTCCATATGTTATCGATCGCTGCTTTGCAGGCGTAATGTGTGGTGGTGGAGGCGAATAATGTTGTGAGAGACGGACGATGTGTCTAAAGTGGCCGTGAGTACATTCTGAGAACCCCACATCGACTGGGACCACTATCTTGTTGCAGCAAATATACAGCAATGACAAGGAAGCTTCCACTGCTGCTCTCTGAGAGCTCTCACCAATATCGGAAACGAGGTTTTAGGCAAAGTGAGTCCTTATCGTGTGACTTCTCTAATTTATTGCTGGAGAAAACAGTACGAGCAGCAGAACTGAATAGAGATGCTATAAACTTCAATATATTATAAAAGGACTTAACAAGCGCGTCGTGAGTCCTGCTGTTTCCAAAGCTATAATCTTCAATGAGAGTGTATAGCTGATATTGATATAAAAGAACTTACCAAGCGCGCCGTGAGTCCTGCTGTTTCCAAAGCTATAATCTTTAATGAGCCGTGAGTTCTGCTGTTTCCAAACTGAATAACTGTTGATAGTCATAATTTTGAAGAAGTAGATAACTTCATCTATTTTGGAATTAGTATTAACACCAACAACAATGTAAGCCTTGAAATCCAAGACAGAATAACTCTTGCCAACAGGTGCTGCTTTGGATTGAATAAACAATTAAAAGTAATGCGCTCTTTCAAAGTACAAAGACCAAAGTGTTAAGTCGCTCATAATTTCCGTCCTGAGGACAGCAACTGCCAATCGGCGTAAGATAAGTGGTCGTCTGCGCGTTGGTTACAGCAAATACAGCAACCGATTGACCGATGAACTGTACGAGTTATACGATGTCATTGACATAGTTCAGCGAAACAAGAGATAGCTGCTACGCCGGCTGGGTCGAGAGGTCAATATGGAGTAGGATACTAAAACTTTGAAAGTTGTCTGCCATTGGAAGACATCAAAATCGTTGAAAATACTTAGTGGAAACGGACCTGACTGTACTTGTTAGTTCCAATTGACGCCAAATAGTTTGAAGCAGGAATGAATGGCGCACTGTAAGTCGGCTAAAAGCGCGTAAGTTGTGTCTACTAGTTATTTTATGGTTACGATCGGTTTCTTCATTCTTCATACACATATTTTAACTACTTCATAAATCTCTAAATAAAAAGCCAACATCTCAACATTTCAAATCATTTTTGTTTTGATTCAAATTTATTTGAGTATTTTGTCTATTAAGTTTAATGTAGTATGTTTGTATGTATTTTCCATTTTGAATATCTAACGATGATAACTTGTTGAATACAGCATGGCAATAAAATCGGTTATTTTTATACAATATTGTAGGTATGCATGTACGTGTATATTCCTTATGCTTTATATATTTTTTCGTGTTTGCATTTTTTGTCGTTTTCTTTGAACAATTACACAATGTTAATGACATAAATTCTTGCAGTACATACGAATATATAGCATGTATATTTTCTTTTATCGTATTTGGTAACAATTGTCTGTTTTTTGCTTTGGTTTTCTTCTTTTAATTAGCTGCTTAGCGCAAACTGAATTTTCTAATTTCTTTGGCAAAAGAAATGAAAAGTGGAGGAGAATGGGTTGCTTTATTATACATATTTATCTTGTATTAACTACTATTACTAGTTCTGCTGCAAAGTTTTGCTTGTACTCATATGTATGTATATAAATCATGTTGCTCTCTATTGTTTCATCTATTTTTCTTTGTATATATGTATGCCTGTATGTTTGTATGTGCGCATTTAGAAAATATTTTATAAAATATTTGTTTTTTTCGAGTATTTTATTGAGTGCAATATTCTCTGCTCTGCTCTGCTCGCACATATTTAGCGTAATATAAATATTCATTTAGGTGAATTCTATTATTTTATTATGAATTTGTCTCGTTTTTTTTCGTTATTTAGGTACATTTTTAAAATGTAATACTTGCGTTTTCAATATGTGATAGGTAGGTGAGTAAATATGTATGTATCTATGTTGTGACGGTTCATTTTGTATGCTATCAAACTTTGTGACTTTTTCAATTCAAATCAATTATTTATATTCCTAATAGTAATAATAGTTAAGATAGCCACCTATAACGCACATACGAGTATGTATGAATCGTGTATGTAGTAGGTCTTGTACGAAACATATGTATGTATATGTTATTTTTTTTTTTTAATTCTATGATTTTACTTGAATTCTTTGTTATCAATTGATTTTTTTTTAAATTATATATATGTAATTTTAATATATTTAATTATGTATTTATTTGACAGCTAATATAGTTAATACTTTAAGTATTGAATATGAACATACAAAAGCGGCTAAGTACAAATTTATTTAATTATTTTATTTCATTTAATTTAGATTTCTCATACGTACTTAGCTATGTAAAGATGTATATGAAATGTATTTTGCTTTCAGTTGTTTGGAGTTTTTCTCTTTTATCTTGTATTTATCATGTGTTCCATTATGTTAATTAGCTCTATTAGTAGGTGATTATTTCTATTTATTTACTTATTTTATATTCAATAATTAATCTTTGGTATTTATTTCACGTATTTTGTATGTATTGTTGTTTAGTAACTTTTATAAAACTTTGAACCATCTGGAGTTCATACACATCTACATACACGTATGTATGTACTATGTGTGCATGCACTTGAATTATTTGTTATTGTATTTTGTGCCAAATGACAACGACGATTGTGTTTGCTGCCTTTGTTCGCATATAAAATAGTTTATATTATTAATGACTATTATTAAGCAAATTAGAGCACAGAAGGGAAGAAAACACATTTTTGTTAATATTAATATTATGTTTTATTTACCGCTATTAGAATTAAATTCAAACACTATAAAATAATTCAACTAATGTTAAACAAAATAAATTTAACTTATAAATTTAAATGAAGTAAACAATAATATAAAATAAAATAAAATAAAATAAAATAAAATAAAATAAAATAAAATAAAATAAATACATTAAAACAAAGTAAAATAAAATAAAATTTAATAATATATATATATATATGCAATAATATATAAATGCTCCTTTACAGCCGCTGAAGCGATTTTCGGCCGAGCTCCTCCTCCAATTTGCGGTTTTGCGTCTTGACGTTTTTCCAACAAATGGCGGGACCTACAGTTCACTTGTACACTAAGCTGCCTCCAAACAGCTGGTTTTATATAAGGAGCCTTTATTTCATGACATAAATACACTTGATGGGGTTGACATTCCCTGCCGAGAGGCCACCGCAATTTGAATTAGAAATAATAAATTATTATAAAAAAAAATAAAATAAAATATGGAAAAAATAATAAAATAAAAAATGAACATAAAATAAAATAAAATGAAAAAAAAAATAAAAAAAAAAAATAAAAAAAAACATAAAATAAATTGAAAAAAATAAAATAAAGTAAAAAAAGTACAATAAAAAGAGATCAAGCCAATCTCGAGCAATGGCTTAACCTTAACAACTGTTCGTATGAAACGTTCAATAAGGTTCCTTTTATAGAATTGTATCTTATTCATTAATTATTATTCTCAAGAGGAATACATTTTTGCTAGAGCAAAAGTTAAGAAAATCAGTATTTCTGAAGTATTTCAAATCATAATGAAATCCCGATATTCCAATGAGTGGTCTGATTCATTAAAGTTTTATTTTTTTATTTATTTATTGTTTATCGGTATTTCCTATAGCAGAAAAAATCAGTAAAAAAAAGTGGAAAGGGAATAATTTGAAGACTAAATTGAAATTTATGAATAAATAAATTACTTTAGAGAAAACTTATTATAAACCCTATAATACATACTATATAAAATCCTAAAAAAAAATAATAAATAAATAAAATAAGAAATATTTTGTTTATTCTACTAGTTGTATACATATGTGCATCTATAATATATACAATATATATATATATATATATATATATATATATATTAATATATACACAGATATTCAACTGTGCTTTTCAACATAAAATTCTTGAATGAGTGTGTTACAGTTTTCTTACTCGGCTTTCTCTAATTTCAACACAATTTTATTAAATATCATGTTATTATAAGTACATATATGTATGTACATATAATACATATATACGTAGGTCTCCAATATTTTTTATATGTTTTATTAAAGAAACGAGTCTTAGTTAATCATATTAGCTCATTAACTATTAAAATAATGTAAAATTATTTTTTAACTTTATTCAATTATGAATAAAGATGTTTTGATTTAATTGAAGCGGAATGTAATATTTTTTCGTATTAATTAAATATTATTCTCAACAAAATAGGATCTTAATCTTATGAATTAGGATATGAATTGAATTCACCTAAAATAGATTATAAACAAATATGCAAATATTTTTTATCCGTAACAAAAACAATTCTACGAAATTTATTTCTTATTTATCTCAATGTTAATACTCTTATTTAATTATATAACAAGTAATATTATAAATATTTTTTTTATTTTCCTCTTAGATAAATAACAAACTTTCAAAAAAGTAAAAATAATAATAATAAAAGTTAAAAGAATATAATAAATACTAGTTATAATAATAACATTATTAGAAATCAAATATAAATAAATCAACGATCCTCTTATATGTATTCTTATAGGCCAACATTTTTGATTTAATAAATAAATGAATTATTTTTTCTCGATAAATACACAATTGGGTAAGTATTAATATTTTTTCCTAATAATACATTTTACTTATTTAGGTACTTAATGATTTTATATAATATTTATATTTTGCTATGCAATTCAAAGATTAACATTTCTTTTTTCAAATTTAGGAATATAAAAATAAAAACAATATATATCGTATTTAGCAAAACAATCGAAATACTTAACTATATATTTGGGCATATTTATGTATGTAAGCAGTTTAAATACTTCTATAGTATGTATATCTATGAAAATTTCTTTAAATAGATTTATTGCTTTTCTCCAAATTAATCATCAATATAAATATATAAATTTTAAGAATCTTGTTCTTAATGTAATAAATTTTCTCTCTGCTAGTAGGTACATTGCATTTAGACCTCGGTGTGATCTTTTTTTTACACATTTTGGACAGTTTAAATATATTTGATTTCTGTTCTTTCTTACAAACTTGTATGCACATAAGAATGTTTAAGTGTGTATGTTATTTTTGTTCTTTTACTTTGCTGTTCTTTCATATTTTCCCTTATTCATACTTTTTTTCGAAATTAATTTTTTCCTCTGGTCTTTTAAAATTCGATACAATACCCTTTACCAAAATACTCATAAAAATACAATAGAAATTTCAAATATCTTTTTCAATATCAAATATTACCGTCATATTTTCTGTTAGTCTGTAATGTCTACTACAGTATATACGAAATATCATAACAATCACTAAATCTTTTCATATGCTAGTATGTACCTATGTATGCATTTATGTATGTATGTATATATCCGAAACTATCATATGAAACTCGTACAAAATTCATATCACCAATATCAGTTAAATCACTTTACCCATTATCGTAATCATCACCATAGATCGATGCCCGCCCACAATTAAAAACTTTACTTAAGATTATATACGCAGCATAACTTAGCTAGATTTACTTACTAAAGTACTTATGTATGTACTTACAAACACACAACTAGTGCATGAATCCATTTACATAACATTACAGTATATATGTATGTGCAGTACATTAATGTACATTTATTACATACAAACATTACATACATATAAGAAATGTGCGTCCTGATTACAATTTGCTTTACTGTTTTATTCTTTGTTTCCTTTTTTCGTTATATACTTCCTGATCTACCACACTACATTTAGGATATGTCAGTTGCGTTGCCCAATAGTATACTTTTAGGCGTGTGTGGGTGTTTTTGTTGTATTGCAAGTATAATATGTTGTAGTTAATGTAAACTTGATTATATAAACTTTTTTTAAAATAATATTTCAATTTATTTTATGGTAGTTTAATTAACCCAAATCAATTTAGTGGTAAAAACAATATTTTTGTGTAATTTTCACTTTTTGTCTTTTATTTTACTTTTAATTATAATATTTAAAGTTTATTTGTTTTTTTTTTTAATTTCATTTCATTTCATTTCATTTATTTCTTTTTATTTTTTTTTATTATTTATTTTTTTAATTTTTAATTCTAATTTTTATTATTTCATTTATTTTTAATTATTAATACTTTATTTTTGTTTATTTCATTTAATTTATTTTATTAAATTTTATATATTTATTAGCTTATATCTTTTTTATTTTATTTACTTTATTATTATTTTTTACTGAATTTAATTTAAAATTTTTGTTTTATTTTATTTAAAACTTTTTTTATTTATTTTTATGGCATTTCATTGAACTTTGTTGTATCATTTAATTTTTTCATTTTTCATTTCATTTAAGTGAATCATTTACTTTAGCTCACTTTTATTTATTTTAAGTTATTTAAGTTTATTTCTTTATTCGATATAATTTATAATATAATATCGTATTTTGATATAATTAAGTTATTAAATTATTTAACTTTATACTTTATTTTATTATTTTTTTATTTTAATTTCAATTTATTTTATTTATTTCAAATTCTTTATTAAATTATTAAATTAAATGAAATAAAAAGGCTAATTTCATATTTTTGTTTGAATTTATTTTCTTACATTTTATTTAATACGCATTTTTTATCTTGAGTTGATGTTTTTATTTGTATTTGGTTTTCATTTGATTTATTTTATTTTTATCTTTTGTATTTTATTTTAATTTATTTTGTTTAAATTATTTTATTTTATATTATTTTATTTTAATTTATTTCGTTTTGTTTATTTTTTTTTAAATTTATTTTATTGAACTTTTTTTGTTTTATTTCATTTTATATTATTTAAATAAATTTTATTTTATATCTCATATTATTTTTTATTTGCTTATTTTTTATTTTATGATGTTTTATTTTGGTCTCTTCTGTTTTATAAGTTTTTCATTTTATTTTACTTAATTTTATCTATTTTTTATCTTCTTTATTTTATTTTATTTGAATTTAGATTATTTGACTTTACTTTTATTTTTATTCTGTGTGATTTAATTTCAATTTACTATATTTTATTCTCGTTATTAATGTTAATTATTTTGTTTTGTTTAATTTTAATTTTTCATTTAATTTTTCTTCCACTTTTATTTTTGTAATATGTATAGCAGAATGACTAATCAATTATGATATAAATATTTTACTCTTAAATTAAATAATCGTTTCATACATTAACTTCTTATTCTTCACTATTTTTTTGTAATTTTATTTTTTATGTTTGCAATCATTTATTATGTTCTAATAAACTACTCATATAGTTCTATATTTCGTCTCGGCGATGCAAGTGCTCCGCCCAGTGACGCTTCTGTTTTCTTTAGTATCGAAACATGATGACCAATACCGTCGCCTGGACGGTTGTGGCATGCAATAATTGAATCCTGCTTGTTGAGCACACCTCGACGTTGATCGGCGAAGGAAATAACAGAATCTTGTTTGACCAACTGATGACGTCTAGGCTCTGAAAATGATAAATTTCAGCATGTAGAATGACATTTTACAATATTTTGGGGAGGAAAATAAAATTAGGCGCCTGCCATGAATTTCATTACGAGCACCGACAATTTTTTATAAAAATTTCTAGCATATGGTATCGATGCTTTGACATTATTGAAGAACTTTTTGTAAAAAAACTACTCAAAGTGTAAGCGCTTTTTTTTCAGTTGTACTATTGAAATTACCTGTCCTGACTCATTTAAATAACACGAGTTAGAAGATACAGACAAATACCTACATACATACATACATATTTCTTATAAAATCAAGTTGTAATTTTAACTTTTATATAAATTTTTGATAGATTTTAATTAAGAATGTTTTTTTTTTAATAACAGGTGCCTTAAGGGAGGAGCGCTATCCTTTGCTTGGTGTCAGGCAGCCTAGGGTTATCCACAAAATTTAAATTTATTCTTTCTCACATAAAATTAGAATGTATTCTTCAAAATATATTTTACTACTCAATTGTACATGAATTGAAATTGGAGGAGATCGCGTTTGACTAAAAAGTAGTATGAATTTGATGATCACTTACCAGGCCTTTGATCAACAAAAGAAATCACCGAATCTTGCTTGACAAATTTCTGTCTCTTATACTCCAACATGGCAGCACTTGTGCTGGGCGATCCATAATTATGTGATGCGTCCAATTTGAAGCTTGTACCACGTCGTGAATCTATAGACATATTATCCTGGGTGGAACAGGAATCCTGACCCTTATCCAAACCAGCACGTTTAGCATCCATATATGAGACAATCGAATCCTGTTTGGACAGTGAAATTTTCGAACCATTACTATCTTGTTGGCAAAGCAAACGACGCGATCCATCACTAGAAGCGCTCTCTTGTTTAATTAAAAATTGTCGCGAACCATGTGAGTCCTGTTTCAACAACATTTGCTGTGATAAATTGCTATCCTGCTTCAACATAGCATTGTGATGATGACGGCGCAGTGATTGGTGTTCATAGATATATGAGACGGCATTAGTCTTACGTAAGCCAGGGCTGCTCGGACTCTTGCGTGAGCTATTTTGATGATAGTGCGACGACTTGCGCGTGCTGGTTGTCGATGAGGCAATGGCGACATTGTCATAATATCTGCGGAAGTGTACGAGATTTTCATTTAAAATATACATTTATGTCTATATTTGTGTAAATTTATGTTGAATAACCTTATGCGAGCACAGCAAGATCTGGATTGTATGATGGCGGCGAAGCCACGTCGATATTTCTTGTTGAAAAATGCATATAAAATGGGGTTGATGCAAGAATTGGAAGAGCCCAGCCACTGAGCGAAGGGCGTCACTTTATAAAGTATCTCACTTTCCTCTTGAGAAAGTTCGCCACCTACAGAGGAGTTAAAATAAAATTCCATTTTATATTGGTACTAATTAATTGTTATTTTTTGATTAAAAAGAGTTTAAAATTCATAAATTTTTAAATTTTTCAATTCGCTCCGATTTTCAAAACAATTCCGAAAGTTCATTATGAAATATAAATATGGGTGATTTATTGTGCTTTTTAAGAAAATAAAACACTACACAAAGAGATGATTAAGTTAATATGATAAATTAATATTTGTTTTATAAAAATGGAAATCCATCGATTGATTGTCTTTTTTTTTGGTTAACTTTTTTTTGTTGTCTATTTTCAACTACTCACCAAATTTTATTCTAGCAAATATCACATAGAGCGGCAGCCAAGATAGCACAAAGAGTATAACAACCGCCACCAACATTTTAATCACCTTCACCTTCGACTTCTGTTGCATACGATCCATTTGTGCATCCTTTGAATCGCCGGGAATTGAACGTGTCGATACCTTAATCCAAATCAATACATAACAGAGTGTTATCAATGACATTGGCAGCAGATAGCAGGCCACTAAGTGGGCGAGAAGAAAATACAAATTTCCATTCGAACCCGGTGGCCATACCTCTTGGCAGAGGTAGAGATTGGGTGGAGCTGGAAAGGATTCAGCAGCTGGCACGAGATCAAAGTATAATAACCAAGGTATTGTCGAGCTTAAGGCAATCAGCCAAATACATAATATCATGAAACGTGCCCGACTCTTTGTCATCTGCTTAAGTGGCCACCATATTGCTATGAATCTGAAAGAAAATGTCAAAAGTTTTTATGCGATGCTATTTATTGTTCATAAAATATGCAATTAAAAAGTAGTAAAACAGTTTATACAAACATAAGTACATATTGTGGTCGTGAGAGGTTAACAATAAACTGTTGTTGAAATTGTTGTTGTGGTTTATGGCTCAATTGCACGCATTTTCGTGGCGAGAGTCAAAAAGATGATGGACAGAATATGAACACTTTACATAATACTATGTGTATGAAGTGGATGGTCTTCATAAATACATACATACATTTATAGGATTAAAAAAAAAATAGAAAAAAATGTTTAAATTATTCATAAACTCTAATTTTGGTCAACATTGTAGCGAGTGTATGGGAAATTAAGTGCTATTGCCCCTATAAAATATACTCGCAAACCTGGTGAAGCGGAGTTTTTTAAATCGGCTGATAGATAAGGGGATTACGTTTATTCTAGAGCCCATGGAATTTGAAGTTGATAAGTGGAGATAAATCTTAAATATTAATTCCTTTCGAAATGTTAACCTTTAGTTCTCTTCTGTTCTAAAAACGCACTAAATCTTAGCTGATAACTTCAACATGAGCGTAAAAATTGCGAAGATATTGTCAATTCAGGCGATTGCTATTTCGTAGGGAGGTTTAAGGATGATTTCTTAGACTTTAAAAGTGATCGACAGGCGTTAAGATCAATCAGCTACTTGGAACACGGCAAAAGTAATTTCGGGCAAAGTACTCGAAAGCTTTGAATTTGCCTTGAGATTTTTCCAGAGCAGCACTATTAGGGCGAACTTCTCATTATTAAGTAACCGATATGTATCTAGTGGTATCCGCAAAGAATACTTTCAGAGTACTCTTTTCCTTCCGTGGTATTCTAAAATATCGTCTACGATAACGAAATATTTAAAAAATGTTTGCTAGTGACGAGCTATGAGCCGAAGCGTTATTCAAAACTTAACTTAACTTGAGCTATGCGCTTTTACGGACACTTTTAGTCGCATAAGAGATTGGGGATCATTTCCTCTTCCTCATCATCAAAGAGCCCTAGTCTTTTCGCGTGTCATCCTATCTGGCAGCCTGTCAGAACTCCTATTACTTTGGACATGCTCCCCCTTTTTAAGCAGTAGATACCTCGTGATCTCTTTTTATCCCATTTAAACCGGATATGCCTGGATTTGCGGCAGGTAGGTGTAATTTCAATTATATGTAAATTCATTCTGCTTGGTCGTACCTTGTCTAGCAAGTGACCAGGGACCGACGTGAGGGTCAGTCTGTTCTGTTCGACAATCTTCTATAGAGATCGGCAAAAGTCCAGCACTAAGTTAGATTTTAGCTTAAGCGACTGACTGTCGCCGAAAATGAAGAAATCCTTATCCTTAAAGCTGGCTCTGATTTGTCTTTCAGCCTACATAATAACAGATATATTCAACTGGAAAACACTGCAGTGGGCAGGCAGCCTGAAAGATAGTTTCATCGAAGGGTTCCCTGAGAAGACACCTCTTCCAATATTCACCTTAAGCTTTAATCCGCCCGTGTATATTACCAGGCTGTCCTTTGGAGTATAGTAATTATTACCCATTCTTCCCTGCTGAGAACTCGTGTTCTGAAATACTCGTAGTTATTATCGATCTGTAAAAGTTGGTATGAAATCGTATTTGACTATTTTAGATGAAGTGCAGTCATTGCTGCCGACTGATATACCAGCAAGTCATGTGGCAAGATATTGAGTATTACATTTATAGCTTCACTTGGCGTGCTCCTTGGTGCACCACTAGTATTTGAAGCTTTATTTATAGCTGGCCACCACTCAATCACACCGTAAATGAGCTTTAGCGTTACTACTGAAACGTAGATCCATCGGAAAAACCTGGGGATTAGATCACCAGTTCTTACGTATTGTTGTGTGCAGGGCAGTAGCAGTTTTCTCGTATCTTTGGATAGTAGTAACTTTATAGTTTAGCTTCTTGTCTATGAGTCATCCTAGAAATTTGGCATTTGAGCCCAGGCTAAATTAAACGCCGTGCAATACTGGTGGTTTGATAGCGGGGATATTGTATCTCCTTGTAAATTAAACTAGTTCTACTTTGTTTGAGTTGACACAGAGGCTACATCGGGTAGACCAGAACGATGCCTTTCTTAGTGTTCCCTGCATCAAGTCACAGTAGGTTTGTGGAAACTTGCCTCTGTATGCTCTAGCGATATCATCGGCATAGGCCATAGCTTTGCCTCCATCCCGTTCCGCAATGGGAAGAGACCTTTACCTGAATTGTTGGACTAGTTTGCACACAAACAGACGGACATACGAACTCTTCAAACTTACCCGTACACTATAAATTGCATAACTAAAAAATTTTGACAAACTAGGCTATTCTTTGAGCACACCTCATTTATTTACCTTGTGACACTATTAATGAATTATAAATGAATTAATTAAAATTATTACACTAACATTAATTATTTAAAAATTGCTCCACTATTTTTCCATGTGACTAAATCAGTTAACGAGAAAATGCACAACTACCTACCTGTCCAGCTGTTAAACTTACCGCCCATGGAAAGCAACAAAAATTATAAAAATACTGAACTTGATTTTATTAGCTAGCAACAACAGCTGATAGATAAATAAAAAACAACAGAGTTAAGTCGGCTGCGGCAACGATCAGCAATGAATTGTGGCAGCAAACGAGTGACCAGCCGATCAGTCATACCTACAAGTACAACTTAGCACTAAAATATGTAAGTGTCATTGGCGCCGGCATGTTGCTATCGCCACATGACACTTGCTACCGCATTTAGTCGCGCATTGATTGCTACAGTTGTCGCAAGTGCAACTTTTTAATAGAAAAAAAGCTTCAATGAATATCATGTCAATCTCCTTGAGGCCCACAACTAACGAGTTAAATGCATTGGAGTTATATACACATACATATGTATGCTGCCACCTCCAATACCGTAACTAACTTTCTAGTGCCTAACATTGACGGCGGTCGTCCAGTTTTACTTAAATTAAATTCATTTTCAATTTTAGTGCGCGAAAATATCATCGAAATTGTATAAAAGCATTTGCGAATTGTTTGAAAAATAACAGTCACACAAATCCCTCCGTTGTAATAACAACTACATCACTTTTTAAACACCTTAAAACAGTTTCTATTTTTTTCTTCAACCATCCCCCAAACTAACTTACACCCACCAAAATGTTCAAAATTGTAAGTGAAAAACGGGAAAAAGGAGTTGAGGGAATTTATGAAATTTAAGAAATTTTAATTTTCTCTCTCTCTCTCTCTCATTTTTTCTTTCAGTTGCTTGTACTTTCAGTGATCGCTTTCGCTTGCGCCGCACCCGGTGTTGTGGTAGCACCCGCAGTACCCATTGCACCCATCCACACAGGCGCACACGCCGTGCACTCGTAAGTACTCGTATGAAGCAAACATTGAACCGTTTGAGAATTACAAGTGAATTCAGCATTTTGAGTGAGAAATGTCTGTCGAACTCCATAAATATCTAATGCTATGCATGCATTAAAGAATTTTTCGGACCTTATAAACATTTTTTTTATAGCAGACATAATCCCTTGCGGAGCCGAGGGTTCGTCCTAAAAACAATGTGTGTGCTCGTGCGTTGAGCTGTTGAATTCCAATCTTCTTTGTAGCCAAACCAGTTACTATAAAAAATAAGCTATTGTTTGTACCTAAATATTTTTTTCCTAATTTTTGCTATTTTCCTATTTGTCATATATTCTTTTTTCGCCTTGTTTTGTTTACGCACTCTGAGTTTGGGTCCGTTCTTACATACATATTCTATACTTTCATACATACTTTTATACTTGTATTAAGAACTTTTCGGTTTTTATTGTAGTCACGTAATTCATCATCCCGTGCCAGTGAAGACCGTTGTCACACCAGTCGTTGCCAAGCACGTGGTACCCATAGTGCCGGTCGTAAAGCCAGTAGTGCCTGTAGTTCCAGTCCATCATGCCCATCCGGCCGTCGTTGTGCATCACTAAGCGTCGGCGGCGTTGCACAAATATTATAAGCGTACAACTGTTCGCCCACCCGCCAATATGACCGAGAATGATGAAGATATGGATGATGATGATCAGTGAATGGACTTTACCCACACAATTTAATCGAAAGCAATGCGTTGAAAGTATATGGACTACAAGCGACCTCCTACATCACCTACCCTACTGTCCCACCTTATTTTCCTACTTACTTTACTATTGACTATTCTTGTACTCTTCTCTCTACGATACCCCCAAAAATTAGTTAAATACAAAAAAGCAAAAAAAAAACAAATAAAAATTGTGAAAATCATTTAGCACGCTATGCGTAAAGTAATCAAGTAATGCGTAAGGTACGGTACGTCTGTATGTACAAAGTAGAAAAGTTTGTAAATTTTATCTAGCAACGGAAGGATGTTTCTGTTTACGCACTTGTACTGCACTACAAATATTAGGTTAAGTAACAAGTCATCCACTTTTTTCTGGAATAGAGGACTTTAGTGATCTGTATCTCGTGTTCTACTCGGGTAACTGTCATTGGAGTGGATTAAGCTAGATGGCAATAGGCAGATGCTATTTTGGACTAAAAAATATAAGGGGGGAAACGCGCTATGTGCACTATCTTCAACAATTTTTCTTCGATTAAAGGCGTAAACAGAAGTCAGGTAGTTGAAAGTGTGAATAGTTAGTGTTTATGGTCCTGATACAGTAACAATTCCGTGACGATGTTAGTCAACTAGTGCAGCAAGACCGGATAGCAAGCTGTCAGGATATAACAGAAGCATTAAACCTATATTTTCAGTTCTTCATCAAAGCATTGCTTAAATATCGGTCGGAGTTTTGGCCGTTTCCATACACACATACATATATATGTAGTCTTATATAAAATATTGAGAAACCATGCTTCAGCGCCCAAATAAAAACGTCGTTGCATATTTTCCTGGTTAGCTGTCACGCCTTACATATATCTGCTAGTCATTTCTAATGCTAGATGGAGGTTCAGTTAAGTTCGAACTGAAGTAGTCGTCATATAGGATTTCAACTAATTTTATGAAGTTTAAGGGAGCCCTGATATCTCATTTTTTTGCCTTAGTTAGTACTTTGAACTGCCAAATTCATAGATGTATTAGATGAGTTTTAAATAACGCCGGACACAAGCAGATGAGATGTTCCAGCGTCTCATGCATATCTCCCTCCCTGTACTTCCTAGATTCATTGTTACTAATACCACTTCAGCTCGCGTGTGCCAGTAGGTTGTGACCTGTCAATAGGCCAACAACCACCCGGCAGTAATGATATTGGCGATACGTTACGTTAAGGAATTTCTGGATTGGTTCGGTAGTCAAACATATGGCAATTTTGGTAACTCATCAGCAATTTCGTTTCCTGGAATGCCATTGCGGTATATATTCAACTTCTCTCCTGCAGCCGCCACATCTACTGCATTTCTACCTCTAAGGTTAGTCGCAATTATCATCCATTCATGTTAGGGTGTATTGATGCATTCTTTCTCAGATGAAGCTCACAGGTATGCGGTCCATTTTGCTCACCAACCGGACGCCCCCAACCTTACAACTGAAGCTATTCACTGCAATGGCGATTGGTGGTAGGTTAAGTAACCTTGGGAGGATTAGTTGAACTAAACTAAATCAAGCTAAAATATATAAATGTTTACATGAAAATCAAATAAAAAAAAAACCAAAGCTACAAGTAAATTGCAATTTTCCCAGCTAAACACGAAAATAAGAGTCATGAAGATTTTTAATGTAAATTTTAATTTTTTTTATTTCGTTAAATAAGAATTTTGCTCCACAAATTAGTCCTAGGCTAGTTTCTTTATAATAATAATAAGCCCAACGAATACCCTCTACTCGCCCAGTCGACACGAGAGGCGACATTCGCATATCGTACGGAATATGCTGAGTCATGATTGGGAAGTGTTTGTTAAGCGTTGAGATTTAAAACTGTTCAGCTATAGAAAAAAATAATTATTTAGCAGTTGAAATTTAGTATTTTTGGAATTTTAAAATTTAATTTAATTTAATTGTTGAGAGAAGCCCTAGAGGTCGACGGTGCTGGAATGAAAATCGAAATTGTAACACAGTCGGCGAAATTTTTCATTCATTTCGTAATTTGTCTTACATGCCTTTATTAGTAAAGGTCTTAACTGTCTAAATACACGAGTTGGAACATTAAAGTTTACCTCAGATATCAGCCATGAATTACAAATTGATCCGTTAAAAAGTTTCACTACGAACAATGTGCCTAACATTTCTCAACGACTTGCCAGAGTAGGTGGATTTAGAAGCTTTAAACGGTTAGTATAGGGAGAAAGATTTACCGTAGAGTTCCATCGGAAATGTTTTAATGCAAAAAGTAAAAATTGTTTATGAACAGACTCTAAATTGTCGTTATGAACTTGATAATTGGGATTCCATATCAGTGAACCATATTCTAATATTGGCCTCCCCAAAGTCGTATGAAGTACTTTAGAGTCTTTAAAGTCTTTTGACGATCTTTTGACGCAGGCACTTTTAGTTTTTAAGACAGCGGTTGAAAGCACACGGTCTTACACTTCTTAATGTTCAAAGGCATGTATTTGTTATCGACCAAACGGTGTTGTTGTCTAGATCTTTTTAGTAGATGTCTAGTTATTTTTACATCATCGGCATATAATAAAATATTTGAATGCTTCATTATCGAGGACATATCATTTATGAATAACAGAAACAGAATTGAGAGATGGGAGATTTAAATTTATTACAATTCTTTTTATTTTATTTTATAAACTTTTTCCCAAACAAATTTCCAGCACATAAACAAATTTATTTTAATTTGAACTTTTCACATATCGACCTTTTATCAAATTAATTAGCCCAGTACCCCATTGAGAAACAGAGTCCTGCACTCCACTAAAAGTAAACAACAAATGATTTCAATTTATTCGTGGCTTAGACGTATTTAAAATGCCTATATATTTAATTAGATGAAATATTTTCTACTCTAGCAGTTGTTGTTGTTGTGTGAGATAAGCCTTACACTAAGTGGACTCAGCTATTAAAGGCACAATGTTAATTTACATGTTACAAGAGAGTTCAGTCCGTTGAATTAAGGACTCTTTATGATTCAAACAAACAGGAGAGTATGAGTATGAAATGTTTCACTTACCTATCCAACGATACGGCAATTAGGCTATAGACGGACGCAGCTACAGAGACGCCCTGAATGTAGGGCACTGTCTTGCACATCAGCCAGCCCAGCATCCAGGCTATAAAAGAAAAGAAAAAAACAAAAGAAAAAAAGGAAATTGAGCATTAAAACAAAAGCAATTAATTAGAGTAACTGGCAATGAGACAGACAATTAACATAATGGTAACATTAACACAGAGAGACGCACATATAAACATACAAACATAATTGCTTTCCATTATTGTTTAGAATATACATATGTATACATAAAAAACTTCCACTTTAGACATTTTTTCGAGATTTTCTGCTTTTTGGTAATGGTTGTCATTTAAGCGAATTTGATTTTAATGCTGTCCATCAACGCTTAGCAATATACACTGGCGAGAGAAAATAAGTCTGTTCAATTCGAACATTTATTTCATGAATTTCAGTGGTTATTTCTGTGCTTCGCTGTTCTTGGAAATATCGTATTTATGATTTCATAAAACTCACTTATTAAATTCACTAAGCTTTTGCGCTTATAGTTGGTCTTTTTGACAGCTGTTAGATGATTTATATTCAGGATGGTTGGCCATATGATAAGAAGCAGACTTACTCCGGAACAACGTTTGCAAATCGTGTAATTTTATTACCAAGATAATGGTTCGGTTTGCGTTGCACATCGCGCACAGCGTCCAATATTTGGTGGATGTAATTACCCAACAGAGTTGGTAGTTCGAGCAACCATTTTTCGGTTTTACCTGATGTTTACACTAGTGGATAATACATATCCTCAGAGAATCCCTACACTACGCATCGAATATGCTCTTGCTCCTGTTGACCAGAAGATTGAAGAAGACTCGAATGTGTTAATCTGCCACGACAATTGTAGGTGTGCCCATCCACTTATGGAGCATTTTGCCGAAGGACCTTGGTTTGCTGGCTTACGAAATTCAACTTGTGCAGGAATTGAACGACTATCAAGCGCGTCACCCGCTCGTGAAATGGACGCAAATGAGATGACCACCGACTCTAATTTTCGGTGCTCACGTTAATAAAGAAAATTGTTGCATTTGAAGTGATGATAATCTACTCGTACAAGCCACTATTTAGACGTCGCAACATCATCCAAAAGTCACTGTTTGGTTTGCTCCTTAGGCAGAGGGAATCATTGGTCCGTATTCAAACGCTATGCCGGTCATAATGTAACAGATAGTGTGGAATGCATTAGAACCAGCTTTTATGTGCTTGATTTGGAGTATACAAATATGGGCAACATTTGGTTCCAACGACATGGCGCTACTTCTCATATAGACAACGAAATAATCAATTTGTTGAAGAACACTTTTGGCGTGGCCTCTAAGACTGTGCGATTTAACACCGCTGGACTATTTTATGTGGTGTTATGTGAAGTCGCTTGTCTACGCGGGTGGAAGAGCCTTATTGCTGACAAACGGCCTCAATTACTGCAAAAAGCTTGGCATCTCAGTTGGAATTTTTTCGAGCCAGTCGCGGCGGTCAGATTCCCGGAATCAATTTTAACACATAATCGCAAACCCAAATCTTCACAATAAGACTGAATTCTTGGCCATACCATTGAATTATATGCGTTTTAATTCTGCTTGAAGACCGTATGTCTAAAGGAATACCCAGTACAATAGATGCTTTCTAACCCGCTGAAAACCTCCTCCAATTTGTGGTTGTCCATAAATAAATTTAGTTTAATTTATTTTTAGGAAATTTTTTTTCTTTAACAACCATATTGTTCTGATTGGCTTGAACATTTTAAAGTCATTTTATTAAAAATCAAATTCTCATCACTCTCTTGAAAGTATTGCCTGTATTAAAATCACTCTATGAAAGTATATTATATTAGGACATACTCGGTCATATGCAAATTTTTAGAAAATGTCTGTTGTGCGAAAATGAGTTGTATCGTCGTTGCAATTTTATGCAAAATACACCCGCGGGACCAGCGCTCATTGACTGACATTAACCTTGTATACTTGCCGAAGTCTCGACATTTTTTCCTACATACACCAATACAAATTATAGATATTTATACGTATGTATGTGTGCTACTGCACACATTAGCTGGTCCAAACACAGCATGCATTCTGGTACTCGCACTCGTAAATGCCTTATCAGCAAAAACAAAATTGAAAAAAAAAGGAAAGGAAAATAATAAATGTGACTGAAGTGCTCTTGACTTTGTACCTACTTATATAGATGCGTTGAGCACAAGAGAGTGTATTTATTATGTACTAATGCACACCACATCTGCTTACATACCCTCGCATATGTGTATACGTTTATGTTGCCTTCTCAAGCCTGCTTCAGTGGTGTCATTCAACAAATGTTGCGTATACGCCGTGAAGGACGAGAGATGCTAGTTAGTTATTGCATTGGCATTGATCCGCTATGCACATGTGTAATATTCACGTTACAGAGATTGGAATAAGTATATGCAGTTATGTGTGTATATATTTTTTTAATATAATTATGTGCAGGTGAGAAAAATGTCATTACCTCCAAAGTGAGTTGAGACGGCCAAAAGGAAAATCACATTCTTTACACTTAATTACACTTGAGGTTAATATCGAATACACGTCCAAATGCAATGCTGTGTTATACAAATGAGTGCTTGTAAGTAATGGCTGTTAAGTCAATGTGATATATGTTGGTGTATACAACAATTTGTCCAGAAAATTATTGCACTCTTTTTCTTACGATAATTAAGGGCACGTGTGCATAGCAAAAAATATTTGTTTGTAATAAAGTTGAAAAATTTAAGAAAAATTATATTGGTTAAATTTGCTCGCCACTTTTTGTTTGTATTTTTGGCGAGCAAATTCAAGTTCCTAGTCTGAGGTGGCTTCTTTTTATGAGGATCAACTTTTAAAGCATGTATTTACAGAGAAATGTTTAAATTATCAAAATACTAAGTTTCTTCTATGCAAAAAAAAAAAAAAATCCGCCTAAATGTGGACCACACTTTTCATGTTCCATACTTTTTTTGGAAAATACCCGTTAATGGAGGGTTAACTCACATCATCTCTACATTGATTTTAAAGCAATTTTCAATAGCACGGAAAGGAGCTGCCCCTTCGTCGCTATGCCTGTTTTAGGTATTTCCTCAAAATTTGTAAACTAATGTTGAGCAACACCAAAAGCTCCTTCAGCATTGGGAAGGACCTTTCTGAGCTGTTCGATACCAAACGACCAGGTGGGTCCTTATGGTGCGTCTTCTTTAATCTCTTGTTTAAGAAACTACTGACAGTGAGATTAAGATAAGACGAAATATCTAATGTCATCGTATTTGCGACAGTCATAACATTCAAGTCGTAGATAACTTCGCCTATCTTGGAGTCGGCATTAAAAAAATATCAGGAGATTATGGTGCAGATGATCGTCCAACTACTCAAGCAATTTGTAAAATTTTTAAGAAATTTGAAGAGACTGGATCGGTGACTGTTATTGTAAGGACTGTGAAGCATCGTTTTGCTCGTTCCATCTCAAATATCGCTACTATAAGTGAAAGTGTAGCCGAAGACCCGAATGTATCTATTTCTCAAAATCCCGAGAGCTATCTTTCTTACGGCACATTATGGCATATTTTGCACTTTGACTTACACCTACGTCCATATATGGTCCAGTTCACATAACAACTGAAGCAACTTGAATAACAAACAGTGGATAGTCTCTCGACTTACCGTTGTCCATTGGCCAGCGAGGTGATACGACTTGACACCGTTGGATTAATTTTTGTGGATAAACCGTTAACCGAAATTTATTTATTTTGAAACCACAAAATAGGTATTCTTGTACTTGTGCTAAAATGTTGGCAAAACTTTTTAAGTTTTAAAATGTTTTCTTTTTATTTTGAGATTTTTTTAAATTCAAAAAGTTACAATACTCATTTTATTATGCCCCCAAAATATTATTTTATTTTTATTTGTATTGCTAAAATTATAAAAAAATATATTGTATAATAAAATCAATATAAAATTGTATTTACGTCCATTTTTCGTTGAGTACATTATTATTATACGTTTGGTTAATTGGAAAAAAATTTCAAAAAAAATAACCTTTAAGAGCACAACTGAACACCGAAATTATTCATTTCACCGTTCGAGGGTTTGCTGAGTTTTCTGTGCACAAGACAATCATTTCCTTTACCTATTCATTTTTATTAAATCTAGTAAAATAAAGTAATGAAAAAAAAAACACAAAAACATCGCAGACATTAATGGAACCTTTGATATTCCTTTTCATTGCTTTCTATCACTACTGCGGAGGACGTGTTAATTGTTGTTGACAAAAGTTATTAAGCATAAAAATCTTTATTAACATTTAACTCAACGATTTGCCGTTGCCTTCCGTGATATGAGGAAGATACTTTTGCTTTTTTTTGTGAGTTGAAGCAATAAACATACAAATATATTTTCTCCCTTTACATGCATTATCAAACATTTCCCATTCGCATGTGACTTGGAGGAGATGGAAACACACGTGCTGGGCATTTATGTGCTCGAGTTTCCAATTTTGGCTGTACATACGTGTATATAGGCAGAGCATATTTAATATGAGAAAAATAGCTATATTTGAACATAATTTTCAATTTATAACAAATATAAATATATATTTTTTATAGATTTTGTTGCAAAATTTTATCGGAACGGTAAAATACGTGAGAAGAATAACAATAGAATAAATAGGCTCATAGCTGAGGAGCGGAAATTCCAGAGAAAATACAATCGCTATCATTGCAAAAAGTGCCGAAATGTTGTTATGAAACCAGTTTTCTGGAAACAAATTAACTACGTTCATCTGTAAGGGACGCCTATTTACCGATTCTCGATTTATATATTAGCCATTAATTTTTATCACCATGCCGAAGTTATGTGAACATTCGTAGCACTCATTTTGGGCTGACCTTAGGGTTGTTAAGAAAATCGCGCAGGTTTTTAAAAATGGTTGTATCGCATGCGCCAATCATTTTTGCGAATATTGTCCTCTTTTTTAAAGCATCAGAACATATTTTTCAACTTTTTGTACAATAAAAATAATAAAATATCCGGCGTGGCCACCTCGTTGCTC